ACGTCCAATCCCACTATTCGTTGGTAAAAGAGTAGCCCAAGAGTTGTCAGTGGGTGGTGATGACTAGCTGCCTTCTCTTTAGTCTTACACTGCTAAATTAGGGACGGCTAGCGCAGATAGCCCTCCTGTAGCTTTGCGCGAAATTAAAAAAACAAAAACAAACAACTAACGTCTGCTGTATGCCCAAATGCATCACTTCGTTTTCTTTGCTTTTCTTTTTGGTATTTCCCACTTGTGAAATGGAATTACGATTGTAACAGACAAACAAACATCTTTATAAGTCAAATAGAATCAAGACAAAAAAATATGAATTAACTTTAATTAAACTTCTATACAATGTCCACAAGTGGCTCACCGGTAAGTCTATATGCTTATAATGCTAAAAATCGGTTTTCGATACCCCTGGTGTGCAGGGAACGTATATGCTTATCGTTTATCTTTGTACTTAACAACAATTATAAATCAACCTTGATAAACTAATCGGTGGGTTCAGGTTGACCCTTTAGTAGAAATCTGGATTGTGGAGCTGGTGAGCCAAATTCGAACCCGTGCGATACCACCAAATGCTCCCCGCCATTTAAGCTGTAGTTGTATTATAAAAGTGGCAGTCAGTCACATGTTTGGGATGTTAGCGGATATACTTAGTAGCTTTGCAATAAATACAAAATGCAATAACCTTTAAGAGAAAACCTTCTTAACCAGACAATAAACAAATATAAACAGCTGTGAGTAATACTGAATTGAAAACTAGCTGAGTTTTATAGATAAGATAAAAAGAGATGCTCTAGTTAATTGCCGATCGAAATTGAGAAAAAGGAAGGTTTTAATTAGTAGAATAAGTACTATACAACGATAATGATAAAAGGCAAAAAAAAACCATAAAAGAATGTTAAACTTAATTTTTATGGACTTATTCTGGGCTCCGTATCGATGGCAACACCTGAGGGTGCGCTATTTTTTTTATCATAACCTGAAAGACGGTTGGTAACCAATGTGAAAGCAAAAACTTGTTACCATGTCAAAGAATTAAGGACCAGCGAAAAACAAACTTGAATTGAAACCGCGCCTTACAATACATGCAGATAAGATAAATTATATACAAGATGTAGAACACTGGAAAGCTACAATTACAGAAATATAACGTTGTGGGCTTATTATTTATTTATTATTCAGCCTTTTATTTTTAATGCCTAATTTCATATTTGAATTTGAAAAATGATTAGAAAGACTGGGTATCACCAATGTTTTTTTTGTTTTTTTTTGGGGGGGGGGGTTATTTAGTCACTGAGTTAAC